CAACCTAGTGTTTCTGTGATTTCTGTGAATAAAATATTAATTGTTTTCATCATTAAATTAACTTGAAAAGGGAATTCTTACTTTGGAATAAATACGTACTGTAGAATAGCCCTTTCAGTTATTTTCTCCATGTAGAGAAATGTAAAATAATCCAGTTATTGTATGAGAGAATTTTATATGAGCCTGTATTGCCACCGTTTTTACCTTGAAACGGGAGACAGTTAAATTTTGGTTTTGGGTTTTTTTTTGGTGTGTTTTTTTTAATGAACACATGATATATGCAGGTGAGAAATTTCCATGGTGTATTTTTGAAAGGTAAACTGCATGGGTACTTGTGTTTTTATTGCTTGTACTCTTTGTATGCTTTGGAAGACACTGTGAAATGAAATACATAATGAATGGAAATTGTAAGAGTACTTGGCATTTGAAAAATAACATTTTGAACATTTAATGTCAGTTTACAGGGAGAGAAATTTGTGAAATTACTTTAAATGCATTCAGGACGTTATGATTTTTCCGGTTGTATTGTTTTAACTGGGTGGATGCTGGACACCAGACATTTGTGTTGAGGGGAAATAAGTGGTGGAGAAGTCACTTTGCTTTTACATATGTATAGATATACATACGTACATACATTATGTGTTAGGACATAGCAATTTAATTTATTTTCTTTAGTGGGTCTGATGATAACCATTGGCAGAATAGTTTGAAGAACAATGGGGAAAAGAGGGCAGCTAAACAAACCTCAGTGGTGCACATATGGTAATGGGAGCAAAGCTGCAGAGGATTCAAAGTAAGTTGCACTTGAGAAATGTTAAAATACATTTCACAGAATGTAACAATACCTTGTTAGAACAATAGAGGTGCCAATCTGGCACAATTGGTAGCAAATACTCTTAGCTTCTAGATGCCATTTTACATTTGCAGGGGTTTATATAATAACGTCAAATCAGTCATCTGTGAGTGGGTTAAAGCTCATTTGGTCTTCAGTTTCAGAAGAAAGGGGGAAACTTAGTGAATTGTAACTTTTCCTTCTACTTATACATTGTTTTGTAAGGATACAAGAAAACTGAACAAACTATTTAGAGTCATCTTTGAAATATCAGACGTAAGGTTTTCTGGCTGATTTTTTTTTTTTTTTTTTTTTTAGGACAGATAGTACAGGCCTTCAAAAGCTAGCAATTCATTGTGCAATCTGAAATTTGCTTGGTCTAATGTTACCTAGCTGTACAGCTGCTGTTACTGTCTGTTACACTAACAAGCTGACAGTGGTTTTGGCTCTTGAAACCAAGGTGCATGTGCATGTTGTCCGTTCCTTTAATAGAGAAGTGACAGTATAACTGAGCTATTAAGTGCTCCCTAAAATAGAAATATTCCTAAATTCCTAAAATAGAAAATTCCCTAAATAGAATCAGGTGGATCTGTTTCCCTTTTTTTAACATTTTTGTTAATTTTTGAGACCCTCAGAGGAATTGACTTCACTAAATGTGATTGACGCTAGCAGTATATCCATTATTTAGCTTTCACAGAGAGTTCTGCATCAAGCTAAATGAGACAGCTGGTGTCATATGCAGTTCTATATTTAAAATAATTACAGTATCTTAAATAGGTGATATTTTTAAGATGAAGCTTGTGGGAAGACATTGAAAATTTACTTAGCAACTGTTTGCATTCAATTTCCAAAAATGCTTTTAACTTTCGTAGGGAATCTCTACATTGTGCACTGTAGTTAGAGCTGACCTGAGCTGGTAAATCCGCAAGACACTAAACAACTCGGGTGTGAAATAAGCTTGGATATGAAATAAAAAAGGCATATTGATATAGTAATACAGGGTGAAACTGTTAATTAAATCTTGATTACTACTGTAGATTTGATTAAAAAAAATCTTAGGGGAAAAAATTCTTAAATTTCAAAAAAATTAAAACTACTTTTTGTTTATACTAAGATTTTTGTAGAATTGCAAACCTGCGGGTCACATAATGAACACGGCTTCTTACTCGAGGCTTTTTATGGTGAAGTGTATTACCCTAGTCCTCTGATACTCTCTGATAGCCTATGCAAGGAAGAAAAATAACTAAAGATTTCAGTAATTGCTGCATAGGTGCAGCCCTGTTTGAAATAGTGTGTTTTATTACAGCAGTCCAGTGTAAATAGTGCAGGGCTTTGAAAAAGTAGGAAAGTAACTGAGCCTTTAACAGAAAATTATCAAGAATCAAAATCTATTTTTTTACAAGATTCAGGATTGTAGAGGGTCTTTTCTGGATAATACTGTTACTGTTCAAAGCTTCTGGGAAGAGAGTACAAGGAGATTTCTTGTACTTCAGGATCATAAGACTGAAAAAGACTATGTTGCTTGTGAGCTTACATCAGGATTGGATAAGAGTTTCAAAGGAAAACTCAAAGGTTTCTTTGAGGAGGC